ACAGAAATCAACAAGAACGATCAGAGCAGTGGGCAGAAAGGTTCAAAATTAAGGCGTTGCGGTCTACGATCAGATGTCGAAGAAATCGTTCCAAAAACTGTGATCACACCAAACACCGCAACCAATGATGGAGCTCCGTAATCCGCTCTGCGATAGTGAACCTCTTGCAACAATACCAGAGGAGCTCTGCAGCTACGCAGTACTGACCTCGAGGAGCCCAGACGAAGGTACAGACACCAACTTGGCTCTCGGATCCGACCACCGGAACTGTTTCATGAAGAGACTGCCGCCACATGTCCGCCTGGACCTTGATCGACCAGTGACACTAGAGGAAGTTAGGGAAACGATAAGATCGATGGCAAAAGGGAAAGTTCCGGGGAATGATGTTCTGCCTACAGGATTTACCTAGCATTTGGGAATCCATGGGACCAGACTTAGTTGAAATGTATAATGACATCCTGATTGGGGGTAGGCTTCCTAACAATGTATCTAATGGTACTATTTCGGCTCCGTTCACAAAGGGTAGCAGGAATGGAATCAGGAACTGGCGGCCGGTTTCCTTGCTGAACATTGCATATAAAATCCTAGCTAAGCTGCTGGCTAGGAGACTCGCTAGGTACCTGCCAGATCTGACCTTGGATGATCAGACAGCCTCTCTCCAGGGTAGGTTGATCTTTGACAGCATCGCTACGTCCATTGAGGCGACGAAAGTCGTCCAGGAAGGGGACTTCGCAGTTCTCTTGCTAGACATGGAGAAGGCATATAACCGGGTCAGATGGTTGTACATCCTCGTTACACTAGGATGGGTCAAGTTTGGCGAAAACTTCTGCCGTTGGGTCACTGTTCTATAAGCCCACTCGACAGCAGCTGTAATGATAAACGACCACTTCTTTGGGTCCTTCAGGTTGACATGTTCGCTTCGCCAGGGTTGTCCCCTGGTCCCCCTGCTGTTTGTGGTGCAGCTAGAAAACCTTTTGTGCAACATTAGAGGCCATGCCCGGATCCGAGGCCTGGCCATAAGAGGAAGAGACTGCAAAGGCCCTAGCAGATGACCTATTCGCAATCTCAGAAAACACGGTGGACTCGCTAGATGCTCTGAGATACTGCTTAAAGGAATACGAGAACCTATCGGAGGCAGCGATAAATTGGTCTAAGTCTACTTACTTCTTTCCAGCCTCCTTCAACCTCAAGTACGAATGGCGTATGAAACGAATAGCAGACACTCAGTCAGAAGGGTTTCTAGGAGTACAAGTCCCACTCCTCTCCTGCGTCACAGATCGAGATAACCTCCTCCAGAAGAAGGTCATACATTGTCGGTCAACATGAGGAAAAGCGTCATACTTGTCGCTGTTGGGAAGGGCGCTGGTACTCAATGTTGCATTATTTGTGCTCCTGTGGCTTGTGGGGGGAGTTCTTCCGCTAGCTCCGAAGGTCCTCGCAGTGGGAAAAATACATTCTTCGCATTTCCTTTGGAAGCCCTTCGCTTCAGGAAACGAAGGGTGCCTCTCCAAGGTGGCATGGGATCCCATCACACAGTGGCAAAAAGACATTCTTCGCATCTCCTTGGAAGCCCTTTGCTTTAGGAAACGAAGGGTGCCTCTCCAAGGTGGCATGGGATCTCATCTGCTTCCACAGGAAAGAAGGGGACTTGGGTCCGAGAGACCAGGAACGGCAGAATAGAGCTATGTTGGCACGCCGGGTAATTAGAGCCTCCTGCTCTGCAGCTGAAGAACACTGGATTCGGCTAGCGGAAGACATGCTGATGCGAGCACAGAAGTTAAGCAGACCAGGTGACATGCGGGCATGCATCTGGATAGAGTACTACCTTCGGAGATCAATCAAATCTGAATTTGGCCGGGCATTCTCAGGGCATGGAGGAAAGTGAAGACAACAGATCGACGGAACCTGTAACCAACCAGGAGGTCCTCTCACAGATTCTGTTTCAAAACCCAGCCATCAAGGACCGGCATGGACAGTGGTTTGCAGCCAACAGGTCCCCCGGAAGCTTTGGCAGACAATTGATCAAGAGAGGGAGATTGGCTGACCGCGAATCAGCTGAAGGAAAAGCTGGTTGGATTCTGGTTCGTAGAAGAAAGGCTAGGGCAAGTAATTGAAGCAATTCCTGACAGTTGGCGGGCAATCCTCCACCCCTCAGGAATTGATCCCCCAGGCATGTGGTATGCGGAGAGGGACAAGGAGGAGCCACAAGACTTTTGGAAACTGACGTTGATACATGAGAATGGGAAAAGATCCCTACAATCTGGACATGTACAGGGAACTCCTCAAGGCTGTTCTTAAAAGAGTTGGTGGAGGAGGAAGTTGACAAGCGCGCCCCCCCCCAGTGCTCAGTCAAGTCGGAGTCAGAGAATGGGTGGATGACATAGGTGAATGGTCAGCAGAGCTTTGCTGTCGGGGACAGCCACTAGCCAAAGTGAAGACAGATCTGGAACAGAGGGCCTGGCAGGGAAGAGGCTTGGAGGGGACATTCAGCTAAGCAGAGTACACGCTCGAGTTAGGCTACGAAGTCCAAGAACCAAGCAGGACGCCCCAGATTGTGGCAACGGAACGATGGTCCCGATTCACCCACTTTTTGGGCCACTTGGATTCAGAACAGATTGTGAGGATCCTTGCAAAATGATGGCATCAGTTAGGCCTTCTACCATCTCAGCACCTGGCACCAGTGCTCTAGCTTCTCGCTCTGCTCGCCACACCCTCTCCAGTCTGGTTAGGAGAAAAAAGGATGAGAGTGGATGGATGCTACCTGCAGAAGATGCCAATGAGCATTCGAGTCAACAACCCACGTGTGGTGGGACTGCCCAGCTTCGGCCCGGATTTGGAAACGGTGGAGGAAACAGTGGGATGAAATATTGGATAAGGCCTTCCCCTAGGATAGGCTTTGGGTCCTTATGGGAGGAGTACCGGATGGTTTCATCCTGGAAGCAGGCTGGGGATACATGGCCCAAGTAATCCAGGCAGTAGGGGCGTGGATCATCTGGCAGGGAAGGAATACGCGGGTGTTCAAAGATGAAGACATGGCAGACAAGGAAATGAACTATTCGTTCAAATCTCTGATCCGCAACTCCATCACCGCAAATCAGAGGAGGGAAGGTCGCCAAGAGTGCTAATAAGCTGCAATAATCTGCAGATTCCCAGCGAGCTGTATAACTAAGTAGATTAGTTTTGTAATATTTTGAGCTATATTGGGCTTGATCCCTTGACCAGTCCCTTACTGGGGATCCTCTTCTAACTAGTTTAGTCTTCTAATTTTTCTACATTTTGAGGTCTGTGGGGCTCAATTTCTGAACCTGCTACTTACCAGGGATCCTCTGTTTCGGGTAGTTCTAGACCCTTGGGCCTTGTGTTTCTATTTTTTTCTGCTGTTTTTGTGTAGGCCCGTAGGTCTGGGTTTTCTGTTTGTCTTAGGTCGAAGTTGAGGTCAAGTCTAGAAATAAGCTGGTCAAGTCTAGAAATAGGCTGAGGTCATTGGGAGTGGTTCCTTTTTGCTCATTCTTCTTTTCATGAGTTGGGTGTGAAGTTGCGTTGGAGCTGGAGCGCTATTTCTCAGTAGCGCGGCAGCAGCATCTTCACACGCTGCTGGCGGCCATAGGTGGGGCCGAGCAGCTTTGTTGATGGCAGCATTGGGTTAGGCGCCCAAGTACTGAAGAGTGCTTCCTCCTATTTGTGCGCTGTTGGGGTTTGGACAGCTGCCACGAAGCAGCTCTTTGAAGTCTGCTTCGATATGGCAGGCCTTCATCTTCCTCGAGTTGTTCTTCTTCTTCTTCATCCTAGGAGCTGCGCTCCCCTCCTGAGTGAACACATCATCTGCAGCTGGCGTTCTCGAGTGGTGCAGAGAGGGGTGTTGGATTTATGAGGGTGTGTGGCTATTGGCAGGCTTGATAGGTTGGGTGCTTACAAGCACCATAGCTAAGAGCTTGAGGAAGAGGGAGGAAGAAGAAGACACCAGGATACTTCGATAGAACGTTGTAAATAATTGGCCCATGGGTGTTAGTAACATGGTTGGGATTCTTGGGAAATTTTGTGTTACTGATTGAATTGGGGAGAGACAGTAATCAGAATTGATTTTCAATTCAATTCTATTTTGGGTATTTGTGTGCTCCCGCTGCTTATTTTCCTCGTCTGGTTTGGGGTGGACTGCTCTCTCCAAGGCCACTTGTCATTGCGCCCATGTACGGGAACGTGTGGATGCCATGTTGGATTTCGTTTCAGTCAGGCACATAACAAAGCAACAGAGTAGGAAGTGGTTCCTCTACACTCGAGCGAACAAAGGTAGATTAGTGAGGGTAAGGGAAGGGATCTTCACTGACCTTCTCAACATTGTTGATTAAATGGTTGATTAGATGGCACAACCAGGTCACTCGGTTGCTAGATCTGCAATAGGGAGGCAAGAGGGAAGTTGAGGTAGAAAGTGCCATCGTGGATGGGGATCTGGAAGGGATCCACTTCGTCGCTTGAGATGGAGCTTGTGTAGATAGGTGCCCGTTCCAATTAACTGATAGGGGGAGGTAGATTACTGGTGGGGAGTAGGAAATATGCTTGTCTAAATAAATTTCAATCAAATGAATTTTGGTCCAAATTTAAGAGAATGGGTGAGAATTCTTCATACGAATGCCACAACGAGGGTACAGGTTAATGGGCTCCTTTCTTTGAAAATTACATTACAAAGATTGGTTAGGCAAGGAGATCCTTTGGCTCCTTATCATGATGGAAGCTTTAGGGGCCAATCTCGGAACTAATCGCAATTTCAAACGTTTGCAGATTTCAGGAATCCCAGCAGATGCTATCCCCATTACCTCAATGTTTGTTGATGATCTCACAATAATGTTGGAAGCATCTTTGTCAAACATGGAGGAGATCCAAAGCCTAATGAGTAAATTCACACAAGTCTTTGACATGGTGGTTAACTGGGGCAACAAACTCAAGGGTGGTGAAATCATTCCAACGGTGACCGTCCTCCGGAGCTTCCAAGAATTCATGGTTACCTTTAAGAGCCCCGGTACGCATCCTAGGAGTGTCACTTACAGCATTAGGTGAACCTACTACCCATGAAGAATGGATTTGCAAACCAGCATTAGAAAAAATGAATCAATGGAAAAATCAACACACTTCTATTTTTTGGAAGGGCACTCATTATTAACAACAAGTGGAACCCGCCACGGCTACGCCGCGGCGCACAGCAACACTCGCTGACACCCTGTGGCTCTCTCTCTCTCTCTCTCTCTCTCTCTCTCTCTCTCTCTCTCTCTCTCTCTCTCTCTCTCTCTCCCCCTCTCTCTCTCTCTGTGGTGGTCGGCG